GTAACTTTAACGAGACCTTAACTTATTTTATTTTATTCATTTTAGTGCAGTTTTGACAAAATTTTCTTGCTAAAAAATCTTTTGTTACACTACTTTATTTTATTCCTTTGATTGTACATGTTAAATAAAAGCTTGTTTTTAAAAAAATATTTTTTTACATTATTTTATTTATTTTATGGATACGTTATCGAGATATTTTCAGGTGTATATGGTGTATGAGTTACAGTCTTTCCTGCTCATTTTTTGTACCAAAAATCTTTGCGCATTTTCATATGACTACTTATTACTTCTTTATTTATCCATCGATTTTCTTCATTATCAACTTGATTTTTTTTGTAACAGAACAAGCTTTAACACAGCCTTGAATGTACGAAACGTGCGGTCAACGGGAGTTGATACAAGTGGCGTCCAATTTAAATATGGAATGTTTGAAACTTTTATATTATCAAGAATAAGGGCCTTTTCCTCGCTATAATCACTTTTTTTAAGGAACAATAGGCAAAAAAAGGCAGATATCTTAAAAAAGCCAAAAATAGGCAACATCAAATGTATATATATGGAATCAGGGAAAGCTAAATCGTGGACATTTTTAATCGAATATATTCTAACTCTTTAGCAGAAAAACAGGCAATTTCCATAAAATCCGTTCCCTGATGATTACTATACATAGCATACGTACAACATAATATGTATGTAGATGTGATTGGAAACTTTTTCCAATCCCTTTTATCTAAAAAGACTTACACATTTGCAGGTAAAAGTGATAAGGAAAAAAAAAATAATAAAACTTAAAATTGTGCAATGTAAATCTTATTATTTCACCAACTTATTATTTGACCAAGAAAAGAATTGTTAGTTTATTGTGTATGAGCGTAGCTTGCAATGCATAATAAATAGTTATTTTACTAAATTCAAAATCTACCTGAACAGATTTTGCTTGTTTTCCATTTGCCATTTCCCTATGCACTAGGTGAACATCGTCTTCAGTACTACTGATATTAACTATTCTTTTGCTACAATAGAAAAAGAAAGAATTATAGATAGATAACTTATGATTAAATAACTGCAAAAATACAAATAAACATAGAAATTGGAAACTTAAAGTTATTGCTCAACTACTTAATTTGTCTTATTTTTCTTAAGTTTAAGATTACTTAATATATTTTAAAGCTCTATGTATTGTACTTACTCATTTATAGGTAAATACATATGTACATTTAATACATATATAAAGTCTTTCATGTTAATTCAAAACAAAGATGTTTTTTTATTTATATTATGTACAAGTTTTAGAAATATGTCACACTGGTAAACAGTAAAACGCGCAGCTTTCTAAGAAGATTGTTTGGACCCAATTGCACGTAAATAATCTACATTGGCATTTTTATGCGATAATTTCATAAAATTTATATAAAAAATTATAGCTTAACAGCCCGATCAGGTGCACATGATAAATTCAGCATTTTTATAATTTGTCAGCAGTGCAGCCGGCCTGTTATATTAAAGCAATAGATATTCCTTCTCGACACTTTACTTTTATGCTTTCTAATTCGGCTTTAGAAGAAATATATGTACATATAAAAATTATGCAATAGAAATACTATACTGACGCAGTTCAAGTAATGTTATGGACGCAGGATGGCTGCATAAATATGGCAGCGTGCAACATAGTTACAGCCACGCTTGCCGACTCTTGGATTCTTGAGACCGCGACACACAATATTAGGAAAAGGGTCGGTAAAATAATAAATTATGCGAAGTCAATTTCATTTAATTTTTTTATTTAGAACCACATAACAATATCAAATTGCATAGATACATACAAATTTTTATAAAACGATACTTCAATGATAATACTTTTAACTAACTTAAAAAATTTATTAAAATTGAAACAACAATTACACGAAATTCTAAATGTTTATGTATGTCGTCACCTAAAATGCAAAAAAATTCGAAAGTGGGTTTTAATTGATTAGGATTTACTAAATCATAATACATATATCTGCAAAATTATAATCTTCTGCTAAATTCAAAATAACGTATCATTAAGTGCATAATTTTCTTAAACAAAATAATGTATCATCACTCATTCTAAAAACAATAGAGTATTTGATATTTTTTAGAACACAGATATCATTGATTTTTTTATTGTTTATGTCTTATTAAATGTTATCTCAGTTTTAGTTGAATTTATGGTCTAACTGAAAGTTATTACAGAAGTGGAAAGAAAAATAATGGTGTAAAATTAATAAAATGTGTTCTTTAATAGAAAATACTCATAGTTATAATGAAAAAATGCAAGGTTCTACTAAAATTAGCAAAAGAGAAGACAAAAAAAAACGAATAAATGGTAAAGGATAAACGGTAAACGAATCCCATCAAATCTTTGCTTCCAGCAGACTGTGATTACTTGTACCCTTGAGTATTTTTTAATTAATAAAAAGATTTTTACGTTATATACGAAAATTTAGTGTGGTATTTTTTTGGTTTAAACAATTATTTATTAATAATTAATATAAATAGAAAAGGATTTAGATTGATGATACGTTATTTTGTTTCAGAAAACAACAATTCAAAATAACGTAAGGCACACAGCATAAAGTGTACTTTAAAAACCCGATTATTTATCTAAAATATGTTTCTAGTTTCATGTTATTACAGATTTGAAAATTTTGTTTAATTATCCCAAGTAGTTTCCATTTTATATAGTTTTTTGCTTCTCCTGTAAACTTATGAATAGTGATGTTACGTTATTTTGCATTTTACGATGTGTGTATGTACATTAGGGTGGGTAAAAAAAAGAAGTACTTTTTTTGGATCCGACACACGAAAACTAGTTCCTTACCAAATCTGAGCTCTTAATATTAACGGGAAGATTATACTTATCATAGTTTTCCATTTTCAATTTAGTTTCATATAAAAATAATCATATCTTATCACCAATAGATCGTTTAACCAGTTGCATTGTCAATATTTATAGGAAAATGAACGCTCTATAAAAATGATCTGTGATACTCTTTTCATTAATCTAACAATTTAAAAGATATTCAAGGTCAAAAATTGAAGTATTTTAAGGAAACTAAGTTTTTGTTTTGAATTTTGTAACTTTCTAAAAAATAATTATTGTCAAATGAGTTTTAATTATTTCTATAGGAAATTGAACGCTCTACAAAAAAGGTCTCCTGTGGTAAATCGATTGCTCTAACCTTTTAGAAGATATTCGCAGTAGAATCCCAATGCCTACTGATTTTTACAGTTTTTCAATAAATATTTTCAATTTATTTATTTTTTTTATTTTAAATTTTGACAATATTCATGAGAATTTGAGTTTATTTCGATAGAACTGCTGATTGACTGTCAACCTGTGCGGGCCGGTTTTTTAATCGCTCCGCCGAGAAATGATTAATAATTCACGTAAAGCAAAGAAAAAAAATAAATAACAAAACCAACGCGAAAAGACAATTCTAGGCATAAATAAGCTTTCTGCTTATTTGCCTATAATTACAAATTACTTTTTCTGGATTTTCGCAATGCCGTGAGAAATTCAACTAAATGTGCCAACATACAATAAAATAAAAGCAGCTCCGGCTCCACCGCGCTTACCGAATAGTGAAATAAGCACAAAGTGCAGTGAAATAAATTTTGCCGTAACAGAAGCTGTCCGAAAGCATTCAGCTGATCGATGAAATGCTTACTTTTCGTTCATTTTCCCCACAAACAATGCTGATCGCGATAAATCGTTCTCTCCCTCCCCCCAAACCTCGTGCATTACATCTTGGCATGCACAGTCGCCAATGTCTCTGGTAGACCAAGTTGTTCTAACGCAACGACAAAGCTTTAGCTTAGCAACAAGCACAGTAACCACGGTGAGCGCAGCTCTCACAACAACGACTACAACCACGACTTCAGCAATAACAGCGGTATCACAACGCAATTCACCCACACCTGCACAAACGAGAATATCGGCAGCAGTCCAAGCCAAGCAACGCAGCGTTGACCTACTTAATCCAACAACCCGTACATTGAATCAAACGGGTATTGATAGGTACATACAAGTCAAACGAAAATTAAGCCCACAGCAGCAACAAATTGCAAATCCGTCAAAAATTTCAAAAACGAAAACCACTGACATTAACCCTCTACTGAGAAATAAGTTTGCGATTCTGTACAATGAATGTGACAAAGAGCCGAATGAAGTTTCCAAAGCCAAACCCAAACCGCCCCAATCTATTTACGAGGGCAAAACTGTAGTGAGCTCGTGAATAAATTAATTCAGCTTATTGGCGACAATACGTTCCACGTAACGTCAACTACCAAGGGCAACATTAAAGATACCAAACTTCAGATTCTAACTGAAGAAAATTACCGGTTGGTAACCAAACACCTTAATGACGATAAGAAAAACTTCTATACGTACCAGCTCAAAAGGAGCAAAGGACTGCAAGTAGTAATAAAAAGTATAGAATCAAGTGTACCCATTGGTGATTTTGATCATGCTCTAGAGGAGGCAGGATTTGCTGTTAAAAATGTTGTCAATATTATCAACAGAGCTAAAATCGCTCAGCCTATGTTTAAGGTAGAACTTAAGCCAGAAACAAAGCCAATCAATAAAAACGCAGTGCACCCAATCTACAACTTGCGATACCTTCTACACCCAAGAATAACAGTGGAGGAGCCGCACAAGCTAAACGATCCCGTACAGTGCACAAATTGTCCAGAATTTGGGCATACCAGAACATACCGCACCTTGCGTCCAGTGTGTGTTGCCTGTGGCGACCTTCACGCTTCCGCTTCCTGCAAGGCTGTCAAAGCTGATGTGGCTATAAAGAAATGCAGTAATTTCGGAGGTAACCACACCGCCAATTATAGGGGATGCCCTGTATACATACATAGACTTAAAGTCTCGCTTGAATAAGCGCAACACAGCCACCACTCTAACTGGCTCTCATACATACCAACACCTAACGCCATCAACCACTACACCAGGAGCCTTTTTTGCCAACGCGCAGCAAGTTCCCAACGTTTCTTTTACCGACGCATTAAAACTAACAACGCAGCCAAGCACGGCGAAATCAAACTCCAATCAAGAACCCCCACTTGTGGCATAGAAGGAATGATATTGAATCTTACCCAGTGCATGACTCAATTCATGTCTACTATGCAAAATATAATTCAAGACATCATAAAGGCTCAAAACCAAGTTGCAAATTTAAGTGAATAAAAAATGAGTGAGTGGAAAATTTGCTTATGGAATGCTAATGGTGTAAACCAGCGTAGATTAGAACTCAGTCAATTTCTTACTGAATATAACAACGGTGGGCAAACGCGACTCTTTGAGCCAAATGCGGCTTTTTGCTCAGAAAAGTGCGGCTCTTTTTACTTTCTATTTGCTTAGAACATTTTAGCTCTTTTTACTTTTTAAAATACATATTTATTTCTTTGCTAGACATTAATTTCCATTGTGTTTTTTTTAATTTTATTATTTTTATATACACACAGGCAAATTGAGATCGGAACATTACCCGCAATTAGAGAATGAAAATTGGCTTTCTGATTTAATGTTCTTTATCGATGTGATCGAACCAGGGCTGCCAGACGTTTAGAGCATAAAATCCGTACACGTACAAAAAGTGGTGGGAGAAAAATCCGTACAAAACCCGTTCTTTACCGATATGATGGAACCAGGGCTGCCAGACGTTTAGAGTATAAAATCCGTAGAACTCATTCAATTTCTTACTGAATATAACAACGGTGGGCAAACGCGACTCTTTGCTTTTTCTATTTGCTTAGAACATTTTAGCTCTTTTTACTTTTTAAAATACATATTTCATTTTGCTTTATTTTATTATTTTTATATACACACAAGCAAATTGAGATCGGAACATTACCCGCAATTAGAGAATGAAAATTGGCTTACTGACTTAATGTTCTTTACCGATATGATCGAACCAGGGCTGCCAGAAGTAGAAATTTCCTTTCTGTGTTGCCAGAGAAGAGTGCCGGAAGTACTTTT